TTTTGTCTTGAGATCCCTGGCTCCAAACTTCCTGATGGTTCCACATCTGCATATGTATAAGACTAACTACTGCCCTGGGCAAAGAGATGAGGCCAGGTTTGGTTTCTGCTTTTCAGAAAATGCTTTTAAAAATCCTTTTGGTGAACAATCTTTCTTTCTGCCTTTTTAATATTTCCTTCTCTGGGTTAACTTCCCACACCTATGAAAAATGTTTACTTGTAATCTTTTCTTAATACCTATTTCCGATAAAACAGCAAATTATAGTCCACATAATCTTAGGTCATAATAAATATTTTAGTCTTGACGAAAGCGTAACACTCTCAGCTGCTTTTATTCCCATCCTAACTGCCTGTCGAGGATTGCGGGGGGGGGGGGGAGGTAGGTTTTTCACGTGACCCCGGAAGCCCTCGCTGCGGACTTTATTCCGTGCACCGACCACCTCAACGGCCCTCAGAGCAGGTGGCTACAATACGGTCGGGCCAAGCATACCCTGCATACCAAGGTGAGCTACGCTTTGCTTAAGCTACGAACTGAAAGACGCGCAAAGCGTGCTGCACGAAGGCGCCTGTTGCAGCCATTTGAGGCCAGAGTGATGATCGGGCCTGATTTGAGGCCTTGCGCTTCCTGCCGTGGGGGGGGGGATGTTGTGTGATTTTTATTTCTCGAGGCCAGAAATATCTGGATTTTCAGTGGCCCATGGCCGCTCTGTTTTCTGTGTGAGAGATCCCGGCCGGGCAAGAGACCGCAGCCGACCTTCCAGAGGCGGAGAAACGGCGTGCAAAACCGGTCGGCACTTGAGTCGATGAATGGCAGCAATACTTCCCAATCAAGTTGCCTGTTCTTTCCACAGCTCTTGGCGCCGGCGGGACGAAAGGGGCGTGCGCCGGAGGAGGCGGTGCCGGCCTCACGCCTTTACCCGCACAGCGAACCCGCCCGCCACCTCCCATTCCTCCGCCAGCTGTCCGCTGCCTGCTTTCCCCAGCTTCCGTCGTTCCTGGCTCGGGTAAGTTGAAGGCTCTGAAGGTCACTCACTTTTCCAGAATCGGGTGCTGGAGTGGAGACGGGAGGATGGAGGGAAAGCCACCCTTGGACTTTGGTAGTTGGCGTGGCAGACATTTAAGAGTCTGAATTCCATAGTCAATACCGCAGTGGAATTTGCATCTCCGCGAATGTCCTCCTCTGCCGGTTTGGGGCCTGCGATCTGGGCGTTTTTCCATTCCTTCGGCGGTGAACTTGCCACTCTTTGCAGAGAAGCATGGTGCCAACTGCTTCCCTGCCTTTCACAGTCCTGCAGCTTTTCCACCAGAGGATGTTCCCCGAAAGACTGGTCGGAGAAATGTGGATCGATTTTATAAGTTGAGCTTCTAGGCAGGCAGCCAATTCCGCGGAGAGAGATTGGCCGGGGGGTGGTGGTGAGAAAAAGTAGAATGAGCTTTCTTCTGGGCAAGTTGACATGTATCTCCCACTTTAAAAAACTATGATTGGAGTGGATTTACATGCTCAATGGCAGTGGCCATTCATAGATGAATTTATTACTGATTTATGACTGATAATTTATGAATGTTTATTTGTTTGAGAATACCAACTTTTAATTCTAGATTTGCTGTATAGGAAGTGTAGTTTAAGGATACAATATAGTAATTCATATTAACTTTTAGGCGCAAATTTCACTAGAGACCAATGGCTGGAATAATCTACTTTCAGCAGGGTGGCTATTTCCTCTTCATTTGGGCATTATTCATACCCCAAGTAATTTCCCCACACTTTAAAAATATTTTCAAGAATTGAAATTAGCATACTATTTTCTTAAGGTTAAGGAGAAATGCTGCTAACATTAACAGACCGAGAGACCACCATTAACTCATTTTGTGCCTATTGAAAAAAAATTTGAGTTCTGAATAATATGAGTTGTAATTGAAAAGCATTAAATAATTTCTCAAATTTGGTATACCTAAGTGAACACAAAGTTTTGGCTTATATGATTATTTTCCTCCATTCCCTACTCTAAGTTCCTATAGTGTTTAATTTTATATTTTTCCTAGGTTTGCTACCAAAAATGTAATGAGATTTTAATTGCTTCTAACAAAACAAGACAGATTCATGGCAGAAAAAGTTATACATGACTATACTGCTTCCAGTATCAGAAGCAGAAAGGCTTTCAAGGCTAATTGTGCTCTTGAGGGTTTCACATATTGGGGTAGCCATTTTAGAAACAAAATGCTGATCAAGCTAAGTCACAAATTGCACCTAGGAAAAAATGAGAAATTGTTAACTTGGATCTCTGCAAGGCTTGGGAGTTGGCCACTTTCTCATTATTGCTGTCTTATTTTTTTCTCACTTTAGAAAATCTTGATTTCCCTAGTTAAGCAATATGTACCATATATTTCCCTCATCCCGCCTTTCAGCTTCTGGGATCAAGTAAACCATTAGTCTTCCCTCTTTATGTCAAGACATATACTACATTGCAATTCATAATGATTTCTTAGTGATTAGAGAGAATTAAATAGAACGGAAGATCAACTGTTAAATATTGAACAGGTTATTTCAAATTGAATATTTTAAATTTTGTTGTTGTACTGTTGTCTAAAGCTTCTGGCAGTATAGTGTTCTTCCTCCCAGGTTTCATTTTCAAATACCTAAATGTATTCAAGTGGCTGTTGATCCTTTCTCTTCTTCTCTACTGCTCTCTGATCAAGAATGCCACCTTTGCTTTACCACCTTCACAAATGCATGCTGCTTCCTTTCTTAAATCTATGTTATTTCTACTCTCCCCACAGTATTCCATTGTGACTTAAAGCAATTCAGCAAGTTATGCTAGAAGTTACTTGCTGCCATTTTAGTACAATCCAGGCTATCTTAGAGAAAGTGTTATTAAATTATATTTTAATAGCATTATTTACAGTTATATTTGTTTACTAGCTGTACCCAGCCACGCGTTGCTGTGGCTCAGTCTGGTAAAAGTGTGTGTTGCTTTTATGTCCAACAGATGGCGCTGTTTTTCAAAAAAGCATGTTTTTACCTGTCACAGGTGTGACATCTATATAATATAGGTATATAAAAACACGCGCATATTCGAATGCAACGTTGTGTCAAAGTTTCAAAGCAATCGGTGAAGAACTTTCGGACATTTAAGATTTTGAACAAATGAACATTTACATTTTTATTTATATAGATTTTTGTAATAATTCGAATAGCATCTGAAATAAACTACAGTTATAATGTTAGTATGGTTTAAAAATCTGCTGCATGGGTGATAGGTGCCTGAAATATATAGCTAATGGAATCCCACTTTTGTGTCTGTTTCCTTTTTCAGAACTGAAGTGTATCTCTAGCTGATGTTTAATAAATCTCACGATGGTGGCTGAAACCTTAGGCCTAGAAAGTTCTTCAATATGGGTGCTGGCACTGTTGGGAACTTTTACAGTAACTGTTCTTGGGCTGGTGCACAAACTAGGACTGATTTATCAATTCTGGCATCAGGTAAAGCCATTTTATAACAGAATTGTAAAATAAAACAACTGGAATCATATGTATCCATTGCATTCTCAGTGGAGGCAGTATTCTTGGAAAAATTATTCAGATAATGAAATATTTTTAGCAGGTAGCTTTTAAGAGAAAGTAAAAATTTAAAACTATCCCTAGTTTTTATATACCTGCAGTTCATTCCTCTGGCTATGTATTAGATTTGTGGCAACCAGATTTTTGTTGTATGACTTCTGTAAAATAGCATCAACAGGTGTCCTTATCCTTTCTAGGTGGACCCTAAAAGTACCCGGCACGGTGGGGAGATAGTGGCAGAGGTGCTGAAAGCTCATGGTGTGCGCTACTTATTCACGCTGGTGGGTGGACACATCTCCCCCATTTTGGTGGCTAGTGAGAAATTGGGCATTCGTGTTGTGGACACAAGGCATGAAGTGACTGCTGTATTTGCAGCAGATGCAGTGGCCAGGCTCTCAGGTATTGCTTTGTACTACTTTATTTTCTGTGGGAGGAATTCACAGACCCAATGACACTTTGAATTTTTCTGTTGCAGGAACAGTGGGAGTTGCTGCAGTGACAGCAGGACCTGGAGTAACAAATACTGTGACAGCTATGAAAAATGCCCAAATGGCAGAATCTCCCGTGTTGTTGATTGGAGGGGCAACAGGCACATTGCAAAAGGTAGGCTGCTCCAGCCACTGGCTCTGAAGTTTGAAAAAGAACAAAGGTGCAATTTGCTAATATTGCTGATTTGTTTTGTGAGATACACGGGCTTTCTCCCAAACCTAAATTAGCTTTTCACAGCATCTGTATGGTAAACAAGCCACTTTTTATAAATATTTGTGTACCTGATGGTAAAATCAGCTATTTCTATGTGGGATGAGTATAAGAGTGGGCTTTCAGTTTTTTCTTTCCATTCTTCCTCTTCTCAGGGCCGAGGAGCTCTCCAAGATATTGATCAATTATCTCTATTCAAGCCACTCTGCAAATTCTGTGCTTCAGTGAACACTGTCAAAGATATTGCTCCTGTGCTGCGAAAAGCAATTGCAGTTGCCCAATGTAACACTCCAGGTATGTCCTTGTTCTACAGACTTGGAATTAATCTGGCCTGCTTGCCCATAATTACAGTTTCTGAGCAGAGGGGCAGCTTGGTAGGAGTGATTGCTGGAATAGGCTAGGATGTTTGATTTAGATTGCTTTTTGCTTTGTTCTTGAAAATCAGGAAGTCTTTCCCTTGGGCCAGTACCATTGTTATATGCAAGCTAAAGCAAAATGGAATTTCAAGAACTTATCCATAGCAACTTGGAAGCAATTAGAAGAGACACTTCTTTTATTTTAGCATAACACTTTATTTCTGAATAGTAGCCGCTCTCAGCAGTGTGTTTGCTCAACATTTGAAAAACAACTGGGTCTGAAGATAGCAGCACACCTTTCACACATCTTCTTGGTTCTTAATCTTCCTATCTAATCCTCAGAAGTAGATTCTCAACATTTACGTATTTGGGAGGAGATTACCTTTCTTTGGTACATTGAAGTTTGGTTACAAGACAATATTCCCTCCCTTCTGTTGTAAAATGGCTTCAGAAACTTTATGCCATGCCTTAGATAGATACAGGGAAACACCACAGCTACCCAACAGAGAATTCCCACTTTCAAAACTAACATTTTTGAATTTTTTGGGATTTGGAGGTATTAGGCAACTACTGTTTGGTCTCCAGCCTTTGAGCATTTATAATATTGGTGAAAATTGTCCAATGGAAGTCAAATGTTTTAGTAGTTTTGTGATAAGAATAATCATGCTTGGCAGGGAAATGTACTTACTTAATGTTTTCTGAAGATAAAAGATGTTCCATCTTTGAAAAGAGTCTTATTAATATGAAAAAAACAATGTGGTTATAAATGTCTTGTTTGCTTGGTAACAAATAATAAAGATTGGATGTGCAATTGTCTGATCCAATGATCAAAAGATTTTAAATACTGAAGAAATTAAAGTATGTTTTACTGTTTGATCAATTTAATAGCTTTATTTTGTCATCTTGCTTCACAGAGGATACTAAAATTGCATTTTCTGTATTAATAATAATATTGACGGTTCTTACAATTGAGAGCAAAAAATGAAATATTCCATCAGTGATAATTTTTAGAACAGTATGTGACAGTTGGTAAATTGTTTAAAGAGTAGGAATGAATGGTCATTGAATGGTCTCGGAGAAACCATATTTTTCTAGCATGTTGAAATGGTAAAATGGATTGTTTGTTTACCACCCAGTTCATGGTCAGGTGACTATAAGACATAATAGTGCCATATAAGATACGGTTATTAATTTAACTACAGATTTTTCTTTAACATTTTATCTTCCACTAAAACCTTTGTTATTCTTATAGGCCCTGTGTTTGTGGAGTTTCCTTTGGATATTCTGTATCCTTATTATTTGGTTGAGAGAGAGATACTTAGGAATGTTTTTCCCAAGAGCCTGAAAGGAAAGGTCGTGAACTGGTGAGTTGTGAGTTGTTATCCCTTTGCTATCAGGAAAGGTTTTAATGGGTCAGTTGGCTCAATGAAAACCCAAAGATAGATTGTTGCACTACAGAAAACCAAGGGGAAGTTCATTAATATGTGCATTGGATGCTGCTATGGAATATTTTTTGTCATATACGTGTGTGCCTCTATACACAATAAACACTCTGATCATTTCTAGATTTTGTTTCTGATTGTCCAGGGAAAGTATGAAAAAGGACTAGGACAATTCCAGGTATCCTAGATTATTTTTCTTAGATTTTTTTAAAATTAGATTTTCCTGAGAACCTCTCTACACCAGGGGTCTAGAGAATTGGGCTGTGTGAGTGGCTGGCCAGAGCACTCACAGTTCAACTTGCACCAGCCCACTATTTGTGCAAGGGCTCCGTGCGCATCGGCCCGCTACTCACACAGCCCAGTTCCTTCTTTTCCCCCTAGCCAGGCTGCCAAGCCTCAGGTTGGGGATTCCTGCTCTAAACTAAAACAAGCATAACATTTGAAAGATTTCTCTTGTTAACTCTTCTTTTTCATAGGACAATTTCTAAATTTGGCTGAGTATTTCTACAGAACCATCTTGCAGTGCATACTTAAATGCAACATATTTCTCTAAATTGCAGAAATAACAGTTCTGCATGTTTCCTATTTTTCTTACTTTGGAATTTTTTTTCAACTGTTCTGTGTGAGATGCTATTTGTATCCAATTAATTCAAAGGCATATTTTTCTGGGATAACATGGTGACTGAGCCCAGGGAAATTTGCAGCTTTAAGAAACCAATACCATCTCTAAAGCAACTTTTGATCTAATCAACCAAGCATCCCTGGTTGACAGTAGTGACAATGTGCCAGCTGAAGTTATTTGAAATAATTAGTTCTAATCAATAAACCATTTTTTAATCATTTCTAAATTAGATTTTTGTGGTCTGTTCTAAGGTAACCTATAGTAGGCTAGATTCAAAATTCCAATAGGTGCAGAAGCTGAGCATGCAACAGCTATTTTGTTCCAGTTGCAGATGAATCAAATTAATTTCCAGGTTATTTTCAGGGTGCTGGCTGTTGGTCTATAACTTTAAATCAGAATTTGGTGTAAGCACCAAAAGCACTTTTGTAATAAATCTTAGCTCACTATATTTACATGGTTCCTAATCTTGCAAAGAATAATTATTGCTGTCTTATTATTACTGTCGATTCTCTCCTTTAGGCCAAGTATTTGCTGTATGGCCTTATATGATCCCTGCATTCTGATTTTATGTTTTATAATCTAAATCTTTTTTATATATGTTGTATATCTTATACTGAGAATCTCTCCCTGTTATTTAATAATAGATTCTTGACTGTTTCTTCCCAATAGAATATTTAACAGAATAACAAAATAACAGAGTTGCAAGGGACCTTAGAGGTCTTTTAATCCAACCCCCTGCTCTATACCCGTGGTGGCGAACCTATGGCACGCGTGCCACAAGCGGCACGTAGAGCCCTCTCTGTGGGCATACGCACCATTGCCCCAGTCCTAGGCTTTCAGTCCTGTCCATGAGCAACCTGCATAAAAATCTCCCCGGGCAAGTGGCTTTTTAAGCTGGGTTTTATAAAACTTTTTCGCTTTAGGCCTCCATTGCCGTGTGCAAAAAAAAAGAAAAGTTCAATCAATTTCAACTTCTCGCGGGAAAAAAAAAGATCTCACAAAGTTGGAATTGATTGATTGAACTTTATTTTTAGTCCCACACAGTGGCGGAGGAAGTGACGTGTCGGAGCTGGAAAGAAGGTGCCGTGTTGGGGTGGGGGGGAGCGGCGGGAATAAGGCGCTCCATGCGGGGGTGGGGCGGCAGGAGCAAAGCACTCCGTGCGGGGGGTGGGGCAGCAGTAGGGTGCTCCATGCGTGGGGGTTGAGCAGAGCAGCGGGAGCAGGGCGCTCCATGCAAAGGGTGGGGCGGGGCCTGTGCATGGGCTGGGGAAGCAACGCAGCGGCGCTTGCATGGTGGTAGACCAGTTGCTTCCTTCCCCCTGCCAGACACCTGCCGAAGCTGTGCAGGGTAAGGTTGCCGCGCCTACCCCTGCCCAGATGCCCTCGTCTCCCCTGTTCTATCCCAGCCTATTGCCGTCCTTGTTAGAGGCACAAGGACCAAACCCCTGCTGATACAATAGGCTGGAAACTTTAAAACAAAACAAAATCCCTTTTATTTGGGTGACCATCCTGTCAATAAGTCCAAAACACAAACAGCAAACCTCAAGTCCAAAGGAAGGAAATAGTCCACAGGAACACGTTGCAAACAAGATGAACAGACCAGGATTCCAAGAAGCACTTTGCAAACGGTTGCCTCCAGCAACGCCCACAACTCCCCTTTTTATACAGCAGTTCCAGGGCGTTGCCTTTCATTGCCTTCTTTTTTTACTCTCGAGTAGTCGCATAGACTGTTGTTGTTTTTTCCTTGCTACTTGACGACGTCTGCGAGCATCAACCAGCTCATCCAGGTGTGAGCCTTCCGAATGACTGAGGACGAGGAGTGTGTCGACTCGAAGTAGTCTTTGTGCTGACCTCCCCGGTCCGAGAAGTAGTTCGGCACTCAGAACATTAAGTAGTCTCGGAGGGAGACTGGGACTACCGGGGAGTTGTCGGAGGAGGTGGAGGAGGAGTCTAAGGAGTCTGAGTCGACAACCCAACACAGGCTGGCACGGAATCACAACATCCCCCAAGCATTTTTTTTACTAACCTGCCTTTCAGCTGCATTCCGTTTCTCCATTCGCTTCTCAGCCTTCGGCGTGTGTTTGTGGGACTATTAGTAAAAAAAAAAAAAAAGTTCCATCAGATTTTCTAATTTCTCACGAGATCTCAAGAAGTTAGAAAGTCTGATGGAACTTTTTTTTTTACTGATAGTCCCACAAACACGCGGCGAAGGCTGAGAAGGAAATGGAGAAATGGAATGCAGTTGAAAGGCAGGTTAGTAAAAAAACTCTTGGAGGAGGGGAAGGTATCTGGGCGGGGGCAGGTGTGGCAACCTTACCCTGCATGGTGGTGGGAGGGTGGGGCGCGTGCCCTTCCCATGCCAGGCCAGCCCCTGCAGCCCCGGGGAGGCGGTGCTGGGCAGCAGTGGGCAGGGTGTTGAGGTGGGGGCCGGCAAGCCGACCAAAGCAGCAAGTGGAGCGCCGGAAGTTCGGGGAGGTAGGGCGTTGAAGTGGGCAGTCAGGCCATTGGCAAGAGCAACGTGGTTTGAGTGGTAAGCGGCCTCAGAACAAGTGGAACAGGTAAGGAAAGAAATCCTCGCTCCCCCCAGAAATTGCCTTTCTTTCCTTACCTGACTCCCAGCCTCGTGCTGTTTCTCCTTTGCAATCCACCGCCGCCGCATGCAAGGAAACAGGATGTTTTTTGGGGGGGAAAAAGGTCAATCAATTCCAACTTCTCATGAAAGATCGCTGCTGCCTGACACCATCGGCAACCCCCACATGGGGGCCGATGGTGTCTGTCAGCAGCCATAGCCTGCTGGCCCCTCGACTGGCACACTCTGGGGCTCCGCAGCCCGCTGCAAATACTGGGCCAGCCCTCCAGCATCAGGCATAGTAGGGGAGGGGGAGGCACATGATGCAGACCGCTGGACGCACCTACTCCATCCCATCTGTTTTTGCTTGTGGTTGGAGAGCAGGTCACTGCTGGTCATCTCCTCAGCCCCCTCACAGATCTTGCCCTTGGCCTGCACGTGGAGCCTGTTCCCCTTGCGCATCCGATGCACTTTGGCCCCGCCTTGGGCTGCTGCCAGCAGCTCGCGTAGGTTCATTAGACCGCCACCTCTGCCCAGAGTGCCTAGCCCACCCAGCACAAAAGAGGTGAAACGGCCAGCTAGCAAGCTCGAGTAGAGGTGGTAGAGCACGCCCAGCAAGCAAAAAGTCACCCTGAGCGGGGAAAGTTGGATCCCTGTTGGCACCATGGCCCCCAGTCCCAGCTAGGATTGCGTGCCTCTCCCCCCATCTCAGCTGGGCCTGGACAGCCATGATGGCGATGGGGATCCAGCTTTTCCCACTCAGGGTGGTCTTTTGGCTGCTGGCCCTGGGCGTGCTCTACCACCTCTACTCGGGGCTTCCTAGCCAACCACTTCACCTCCTTCGTGCTGGGTGGGCCTGCAGCTGTGCGCAGCAGCCTAATGGACCTGCGCAAGCGGCTGGTGGCCGCGGCAGGTACCGAGGTGCACAAGGGGAATGTGCTCCACCCACGGGCCAAGGGCAAGACCCTCAAGGGGGCTAAGGAGATGACCAGTGGTGACCTGCTCTCCAAAAAGAGATGGGACAGACTAGGCGTGTCCGGCGGTCTGTATCGTGCCCCCCCCAACTCCACCTGCTGCTGGTGCCGTTGCAGCACTGCTGCTGGAGGTTCAGCCCAGTATTCACAGCGGTCTACGTAGCCCCTGCTGCTGTATGCCATCAGCCCCGTGTGCTCACCGCCTCCTGTGTGCGCACCTTGGGGTCTGCCAGGCTGGCCAGGGCAGGGGCCAGTCCCTTGCCATCTCCGGGGCATCCCCAGGGGCCAAATATTGGCCAATTGTGGGCTGGATCCGGCCCGCGGGCCTTGTGTTTTGTTTTGTTTTTAATAATACTTTATTAATTTTCAAATTTTACATTTAGGTATTTAAAAAGCAACATGGTGACTGGGTTAATCAATAGTTTGATAACAAAATCTTTAGTACAAATCTCAAATTGCCACATCAAATATTTCTTCTCTTTTCCCCTTAACATTTACTATCTCATATTCAAGCTAGTACAGTTCTTATTATATCAACTCAATAAAACATTATTACGTTTATCAATACATTTTTAGCATATACATATCTTAATTACATTCAATCTTCATAAACAATCCACATCCTATTATTAATTTTTACCCAATTTTTAGTTTCTCATCAATATTCCAATTTAACCTTTGATATTTATAATTTTCAAGCCTTAGGTAACCAAGTCTTCCGGTTTGCCGCTGTGGACGTCTAGAAGGCGAGCTCCGTCTTCCGCGTCCATTTTCGCTCCACTGGGGACCCTGGAAAGGGTTGAAAGTCACCCTATAGGGGTGACGAGCAAGGAGGGCAGTAGCCCTTCCATTTGATCTGGGGCAACCCTCCAAACTGGCAGAGGAAAGACCAGCCATAGTAATATGGCTCGTCACTAGGCTGCAGACAGCCGAAGTCAAACTCACCACCAAGCACTTTGAAAGCAACGCGGATGAAACTGGGTGAGATCTGCTCTTCTCTTTACCCTAAATACTTTCTCTTCCTGTAAAAGCTGTCTGAAGTATCTTTCCCCCTGTGAGGAGAGAGGGAAGGAATTTCTAGCCCACCCTCTAAGAATAGCTGCGTCTTTTAAAGCATTAAAAGAACAACTTTAATCTAATTGGATTTATATGTTCCTGAAACTTAGGGACCAAAAAATTTCCTATTTTTATTGGAGACTCTTGTTTTTATGTACAAAAAGGAAAATTGGAAAAAGGACTATAAAAATTTTGGACTCAAAAAACCTTAAATGGCATCGGTGACATCTTGTAGCGAAGTTTGGTACTACAACTTGTTATTTCTTAAAAGAGACTTGGCTCGAAGCCCAGACCTTAGATAAGATTTTTCTGACCTTGGCACCACCTGTAAGAGACTTAGCTGTAAGAGAACAGCTGGGCGGCATAACTGGCCTACTTGAACTGTGAATGTAAACCTTTACTGACTCTTAGAGTTATACATGGGAAACTGCTTTCCTATCTCTTTATTTGAGGAATATTGGTCACTATATGAGATGTTGAAATACCTTGGATTATAAAATCTTACTTGACAAACAAGTCTTTCTACTAGAAAGACTATTTATAAACACGTGAAAGATATGGATGAAGACCAGGAAAAGATCCTTTCCATGTTGAAAGCAATACATGAAACCATTCTTTTAGCTTGTGATAAAATAAGATCTAACATAAAAGATCAAGATGCCAGCTTAGATGCACAAACCCAAACTTTGACTACAACCAAAGAACCAACAATGCAGAAGATAACAGAAGAAGTGGGACAATCAAATATTAAGACAGAGGACTTAATTGACCAACAAATGCAGCTGATGGAAAATCCAGAAAAGGAAGTGACAATACTGAAAATGCAAATGACTTTCTTTATAAATCAGAAGAAATTTGAGAAAGAAGAACAATTTGAATGGAAGACAAACATATCAGGCCAAGCATGGGGAATTGGAGTAACAGGGAGACAACCTAATGAATACAAATGGGCTAGTCCTTCCAAAAAAATGGCAATTAAACAGTCTCCTTTATTTCAAATAACATATATAATAATAGAGGGAGATCTATTTGACGATCTAAAAGCACTGATATGGAAGCCTAGTTAGCAAAGGAAGAAAGCCAGAATAAGGTTGAAGAAAATTTGGGTCTTGACCTATTAGAGGGGATTGCATATTATTAATTAGAGGGTTAAAGGGAGAAATTGAGATAAGGGGAATTCTGGTCATTAGATTTAAAATACTTGGAAATTAGTTGAAAATAAGGACTAAAATGTATATTTTGGATATTAGATTTTGTTATGAATTGAGATAAGGGAAGTCTTGGTTACCTAAGGCTTGAAAATTATAAATATCAAAGGTTAAATTGGAATATTGATGAGAAACTAAAAATCGGGTAAAAATTAATAACAGGATATGGATTGTTTATGAAGATTGAATGTAATTAAGATATGTATAAGCTAAAAATTTATTGATAAATTTAATAATGATGTCAAGTCTGCTAACATTGGATGTTATTGCTTGACATAAGTGAAGAAGCAAACATATCTATTTAGTCTACATATTGCCTCAAGAGCAAAAGCAGGCATTGCGGGCCAGATGAGGGGGGAGGAATGCCTGTGAATAACTACATTATCTTAGCATAGCACAGCCAAGGTCAAAGCAGCAGCAGTTTGTAATAACAGAT